ATTCCACAGGCCAAAAATGTTGAAAGTATTTGGGAGCTTTTATCTAATCCTTAAAAGATTTTAGGGTTACCCCTTCAAAAGGGGGAATGTCATAGTAGCCAAAAGCCCCATAAAAACATAAATAAAAATAAAGAAGAAAGAGTACATGCAGTTATCAGAAAAAAGTGATGGGGAGATATGGGAGGAGTTGGAGGGGAGGGAATGGGCGTGGATTTGGTCAAAACTCCTTGTATGCATATATGAAATTCTCAAAAAATTATCAAAAAAAAAGATTTTAGGGTTACCTCTTCAGTGGGGGGAATGTTAGAGTAGCCAAAAGCCACATAAATAAAAATAAAGAAGAAAGAGTACATGCAGTTATCAGAAAAAAGTGATGGGGAGATATGGGAGGAGTTGGAGGGGAGGGAATGGGCGTGGATTTGGTCAAAACTCCTTATATGCATACATGAAATTCTCAAAAAATTATCAAAAAAAAATAAATGAGAGTCAATTTTGCGGGGGGGACTCACAGATTCCTTTCCCATCTTCTTTTGTAGCCGAGTTTGCCACTGGACAGCTTGCATGACGATGGCTTCCCACCTTCTCTCCAGGTTGACAATGATCAGCTGCATGGGCTGGTGGTCTGCGCTCAGATTGCAGGTGTCCCGGTCGTCCAGAAGATGCTGGCACAGCCGCAGAATGGAGGCCACTCCTCGCTGCCGCTGCTTGATTTCACGACAGAGGGACTGCAATGCAGACAAAGACCAGTTTAAGTACATGTTTGGGCTAACTTCCGGAAAACACACATGGTCTCTTCCACCGTGATCTCAGACTGTAGGGACACACACAACTTCAATAGACAGGACAAGAACAGACCCAAGTCTCCTTTAGACCAGAGGCTTCCTACACACAGCTAGTGATGGCTAGAGAATTGAGGGGCCCATTTCCTCTCCAAAATGGAAGATCCCATCTTGACACCTAGCTATTAACACTTTCTCCCCTAATGAAATAAATCGTTTAGGTCATATGAATTCCAAACAGACTGACGATGTTGACTCAAGGTCAAAACAGACAGAAAGATAAAATAATCCTCCTAAAACATGGAATTATTTTCCAAATTTATCTGTAGATTCTGTGGAAGGAAAAAAATTCAGTATTTTACTGCCTGAAAATAATAAGATGGTAAAGAATTTTTATACATAAAACCTATTTTCTGGGGGAAAAGTTGGCAATATTTTTCCTCTGAAGCTTGATTAACAAAACAATAATGTTCTGAAAACAGAAATCAAGATACTAGATTATTACCGCACAATTTGTTGGTTGCTGTGTTTCTTTTAATAGACATTCACACTATTTAAAAAGGATATACATGCATCAAAATAGCATTTTGCCCCCCAGAAGTATTTGTATTGCTGCAATGACCCTAAGTCGATCAATTCAAGCAAAATAGTGGGTACACATGTCTAAAAATATTATATCTTTTCCTCGCCTACGGATAGTGTGTAAGTGAGTGATATTCTAATTCAAAGCCTTCCGGAGAAATGATGATTATATCCACAAACATCACTGAATTACTAATCTCCTTCTACTGCCACAATTGGACTGTTCTAACAGTTAACAGATTGCTTATTAATCAACAAGGGTAAACAAGACAATGCAATTTCATTTAGTGTGAGAGTTTTAATGCCTGAAAGTATTTGTGCTTAAAATGTTAATCTAGATAAGGCTTCATTAGAAGAAGTCTTAAAATGATTAAGTGCTGTTTGCTGAATTGTGCACAGAGTAGGGTTAGTAGATCAGCAGGTGGACATTTCATACAGATGTTCCACTTACTGATATAATGCATGCTATAGCCATTTAAATGACCCTAACTCGATAATAGCTAGAATTCTATTATTTCTGTAATGAGAGAACCTGTACCTTTAATATTTCTGAATTTTAAATAAGGTGAGTGACAAATCCCCAAACCTCTATTTATGGCAAAATATGACTAGGAATTTTATTATTCAATTCTTACCAGTACAGCTGTTGCAATTATGTTTCCTGAACTTCTCCTTATTTATTTTCCTAGGGTACATGACTACTTTCCTATATAACTGCTAATATAACTCCATATCTGACAAATTTCTTTATTAATGCTATTCACCAGTTCAGTGCTGAAGGACAGGAGACCCCTGGACATTCAAAGATAAACTCGAGAGCCTAAGAAAGCCATGGTATTGCTCTGTCTTCCCCTGCAGCTCCCCCAACTACCTCTCTCCATCGACATGCATGCACATGTGTGAACACACAAAGAGACAGAGAGAGATAGACAGTCAGACAGCTAGACATACACACCACACGCACAGATGCACACACAAGAGACAGACAGATACACATAGGGTGAGGCATATATACAGACAGACAGACAGACACACACACACACACACACACACACACACACACACTTCATTTGTTCACTTAATCTGTAACTGTTGAATACTCCAAATGATAAAATGCCTCCTAATACCTGCCAGTTTTTTCCCAATATTAAATAACTTAAGAAAGTATTCTGAGCAATTGGAATTGGTTCAAATAAGTCCTAGGAATGTGGGCATTGATGATTAGAGGTTTTGATTTGTGGTTAATTTGTTAAACGTAGAGATATAAAAAAATAAAAAAAATCAGGAAATGTTTTGTGCCACAAAACTGGATTTTGCAAACCTCTCCTTGAAGTTCACTAGACTAATATCTGTATTTCTCAAGCCAACACAAAGGCCGCGGTTCTCAGCTGAAGGAAACATAGCAGTGAATGACACTGAAAGTGTGAACGGAGTCAGGTCAGGTCACGTGGAAAATGCCCACAGGACGGCTCAGATGGGCTTCATCACCTCAGAAGCATTTTCCAAGTCCCAAAACAGAGCATCTGAGGCAGGAGAAGTTTTCATGAAGTCAATGGCTATGATTTTTTGAAAGTATCTTCACCCAAAATCAATGCAGATGGATCAAGATAAGTGTGGTGGCTTAAAAGCACAGAAGTAGGGTGAGGGGGTGATTCTGTGACTGGCTCTCCACCAGCATTAGAAACCGAGTTCAGATCCCCAGTACCCAGTAAACAGTCAGCAAGGCTACACATACCTGCCACCCCGGCACTGGGGAGCAGAGACAGGAGGATCCTGAGACTTCACAGCTGGAACTGTGACCTTTGATTTAGTAAAGATCTTGTCTCAAAACAAGGCAGAGAATGATAGAGGAAGATGCCCAGGTCCAGCTCTGGCCTCCAAAGGTTCATGCACTGCCTTCTACCCATGTGCGTGCACCTCACACATACACCAAACCCCCATACCCAAATAAATGCTTAAAAATTACGAAATTACAAAATCAGTTACTGTTAACATTTAATACCTGATTTTTGCATCTTCAAAATTGTAAAAATTTTCCCCTTGGAAAAAGGGATCTAAAGGGCTTAGTCTACATTCTAAAGTAAAATTTATTCTTTGTGTGCTCTTTGAAAGGGAAGGAAAATCGAGAATTTTATACAACTAACACTTTTTCTTTATACCTAGAGATATAGTTGATAACACTCTTTACACAAATGTGTTTCCCTGACAACCATCAAAATATACATATTTATTTATAATCACAAACACACACTAAATAAAATCACTGATTTGTTGGCAACATTCCTCTGAAGCACTCACTATTCTACATTATCCCTGTGATAAGCTGAGATACACTGCGTATTTTCCATACGCAGCGAGAAATGTTAAATATAACAAGATAGGAGCAAATGATTATTAAAAATGTGTTTTGCTTTAGATTTTAGAAAAACAGCGGAAAAACAGAAACCTTTGCTAAGTAATCCAAGTAAGGTATAGAAATAAGACAAACATGCCTCTCTGACCTCCTCAATGTGAACTGCACCTTCAATTTGCTCGGCCCCCTTTGGGGAAGGGAGGTTTGCAGAATAAGCAAGTTATTGCTCCTTCCCTCCGGGAACTGAGTCTACTGGAGGTGAACCCAGGCACACTGAAGAGACAGGTACTACCTGAAGTGTGTGTGAGCTGCTCCTGGGAGCTGATGACTGTAAGGAAATGGTAGGATCAGGTGACCCGAGAAACGTGATAGTGGTTGTAAAGCTCAAGGCCCCAGAGACGTGTTAAGGCAGAACACAAGTGGGTGGGTGGCCTTGGGCAGTAGATCACTGTGTGGTGGGTGAACTAACCCATGAAGTGGCTGGGGAATCAGAGATGACATTCAAAGTACTGGCCGCCATTGCCAGTCTTGAAGCATTTTCCTAAATAACTGGAGTCATACTGGTTGTGATGCCCTGTCATACTACCTTCCTGAAAAACACTGTGGTAAGACGATGCAGAGAAAAGAGTTAAAGTAATTATCAGTATGTCTAAGAAAGGGAGTCTGGATGCTAGAATAGCCCTCTGTCCTTATCATGAGGTAAGGTTCAGACAATTTCCTTGCACAAGGCCACCTCTGATCACATCACAACAGAACAGCTGGGGTGCAGTTCGGGACAGTACTCTGAAATTTCCAACCATCTCTTCTCTTTATTTATATAGAGTTTCCACTCAGGCACTCATCTTTCTAAAATCACAGATTTACAACAAAAATGAAAAGTATAAAAAAATGAGAGTCAAAATTTCTGTCCTTTCTTCATCCGTGATCTGAGCCGAAAGGCTGGGAAGCGATCCCTTTTTCCTTTAGGACGATCAGATGTGCGACTCTCTAAACTTGTTAAGAACAATGTAAGAAAATTGCCCACAGCCAGACAGCTTTCCTTCGGATTTACAAACTGACTTTCAGTTCACTAATGGCAGTACACAAGATTTTTGGTGGGAAGTATTTTGTTTGTTTTGTTTGTTTTGCTTTGTTTTGTCTCCTGACTTAATCATTCAACTTTTCAGACTGTTTAAGCCGAGATCTCAGGTTTGTGAGCCCGATATGATACAAAATCATTTCTTTTCCTTTTTGTAGGTCCAAGTCTTGAACCTAGGGCTTCCCGAGCGGTCAGCAAGTGCTCTTCCCCTCTACACTGAGTGACACCCTGAGCCCATATAGACATTCCTCACTGGCTTCCTACCACGGAACAGCATAGATGGTAAGGTTCATTGTTGATGCTTTATTCTTCATGTTATGTGTGCTTAAATTAAAAAAAATACATAAAAAGGTAGCATTTATTTGTGGGCACAAGTCCTTGACATTAAACAAGTGTCATCTAATACACAAAACAATGTAAATAAACTTTCAATTAAAAAACAAAGCCAGGTGTGGTGGTACACACCTTTAATCCCAGCACTCAGGAGGTAGAGGCAGGAGGATTTCTGTGAGATGGAGGCCAGCCTGGTCTACATAGTGAGTTCCAGGCCAGCTACAGAGAGACTCTGTCTCAAAAAAAAAAATGAAGTACAATTATAGTAATAACTGTTGTATGAATGTTGTGAGAAAATAAAGAAAAAAGATGAGGAAAAAGAATATTTCAAAAGCAGCAAAACAAAGGACATATTAAAAGCAGAGAAGCAAACCTAACTGAAAAAATACTCCGAAGCAATTTGTGTCCAATATCTCTTACATAAATTTATCCAACATGTTAAGTCAACATTATGGCGTATGTCAATATGAGCTAAGTGTTGGGATGCTGGGTGGTCTGTTAAGTTGGGAAATGCTATGAAGCAATGCCGTTCAGAAAGGCAAACGTTACTTCGCCTTCTCTATTGATCAACTGTTTAAAAAACTTTATTGAGAATGTTTT